GAAGAGAGAAAACTGCAGACAGGGTAAACAGTAAATAATAAAAAAGGTTTCTCTAGACCTAGAGCAATGGTTCTCAATCCTGACTGTACATAAAGATACCTGGAAAATATTTAAAAATACCTTGATGCCTGGGATCCACCCCAGACCAATTAAATCCAAATTTTGGCTAGAAGAAAAGGATCTTGTTGTTTATATTTTGTTTTAAAATCCTCCCCAGATTGATTCTATTGGCAGCCAAGATTGAGAATGGCTGCTCCAGGGAAACCTTTGGTACCTGTGTGGCCACTGAGGATATTTGAGTTTTACACTTAGAAAGGCCTGAGAGACTTGATAAAAAAGCCTTAATGCCAGATAATAAACATCTTCAGTGGGAAATAATTAAAACTTCAGAGACTAGAAAATGATCTGATAAGAGTGATACATTAACATATAGGAATTCTGGCAAAAAAAAAAGTGACAAAGCAACAGAAAAATGGAGGAAATCCATTTACTGTGATTGATAATGTGGTAAAGGAAAAACAAATAGGATTTAATAACAAATATTGAAATTGATGAAAGTTAAGACCTCAAGATTACCCATATACTACAAATGAACAAATATCCCCTCTTCTGTGCAATATATAATCTTAATAACCACAGAAATTATGTGTTAACATCTGTCTTTCCTATTAAACCTAAAACCTGTAAGAGCAGAGATCAGTTCAGTCTTGTTCACCACCATATCCATGTGCCCAGCATAAAGCAGTCACTCAACAAATATTTGTAAAGTAAATGAATGACCACTATAGACAGGAAAGTTCATTAGGTCTATTAGGTCATAAAAGAGCTTTGGTAGTACAGTGGTTAAAGTATTTGACTGCTAACAAAAAGGTTGGCAGTTCAAACCCATAAGCCATTTTGCAGGAGAAAGATGAGGCAGTCTGCTTCCGTAAAGATTTACAGCCTTGGAAATCCTACAGGGCAGTTCTACTCTGTCCTGAAAGGACATAAGTATGCATTGCAATCAACTCAATGGCATTGAGTTGATCTGGTTAGGTCATAAAGAAGAAAGACTTCTGAGCAAATGGAAATTATAAATCACTTGTAAGCAAGCACGGTTTTTCAATTCATACATTCATACTTTCTACTGTGTTAACCAACGGTGTGTTTCTTATGAAGCAGATGAAGCTTAAACTCTGTAACTATCCACCACATGGTCCTTCAAGGGCCCTAAATCTAATGTTGTTAAGTTGTTGTTAAGTGCCATCAAGTCAGTTTCAATTCATGGCGCCCCATGTACAACAGAACAAAACACTGACTGGTCCTGCACCATCCTTACAATCGTTGCGACACCTGAGCCCATTTTCACAGCCACTGTATTGTATTCATTTTCTTAAAAAAGAATCCTCTGTCCAAATCATAAAAGCTTTAGGTCCAAACTGGATCTGCTTTTTGTTATATAATTACCTTAATAAAAAATAAATAAATAAAAGCTGATACAAGCTCTCAAAGATACAAAGAGACAGCTGAAACAGACGTTCCATATTATTAAATCAATTGTAAATTCCCAAAAAGAAATTAAGGAAAGTTATTAACAAATACAAGAGAAGAAATAGGGTGTAATAACTGCTAGGAACCAATGGAACTCAAATGTGAATTATTTTGAAAAATATTCCCGTGCAAATAAGTAGCTAATAAAAGGTTTTTTAACCACATCAAAAGAGACCAAAAGCCTTACCAATACGCTGGTTAGGAAGACAAAGAAGTGTCTACTAAAACGGTTTTAAAAGTAACTGGAAACAATCCTTGAAAAGAAATAAGGCTGAGGGTCACAGAATAGAAAAAGGTCAAATTTGAACGTGGAGATAAAAAGCTACAACCTCCAACTGCCTCCTTTGATTATTTCCAAATGGCAATCAGAGTCAGCAGCTGTTTTTCTCTTTAGCACTTGAAAAGATCAGCTGAAAAGAAGATCTTATGAATCAAGAAAAGCAAAAATATTGCAGATATTTTTGTCTGACAATGAGAATGAGTATGTGCTATTCCAATCTAAAGGAGCCCTGGTAGTGCAGTGGTGAAGCACTCAGCAGATATAACTGAAAATCAAGTAGTTCAAACCTACCAGCCACTCTGCAGGAGAAAGGTATAAGCAGTCTGCTTCTGTAAAGATTTACAGCTTTGGAAACCGTATGGGGTAGTCCTAGTCAGTCCTATAGGTCTCAGAATTGAATTAATGGCACTAGGTTTTAGTTTTGGTTATTCCAACGTAAACAACAATATACAAGGCAAAAAGATCAACTGTAGGGGTGGGGGTCAGGGAAGAAAGGAAAATAATGAGTTTGAAATAAAATAATTTCTAACAAAAAGTGCAGAAAAAAATAAAATTGTGTGATTTCAAAAAATTACTCTATATCATGTTCTGTTTATAATATTTTAATATACTGCTGTTGTTAGGTGCTGTCAAGTCAGCTCCAACTCATAGCAACCCTATGTATGACAGAAGAAAACACTGCCCCGTCCTGTGCCAACCACACAATCCTTGCTATACCTTGGCCCATCGTTGCAGGCACCATGTCAATTCATCTCATTGAGGACTTTCCCCTTTTTTGCTCACCGTCCACTTTACCAAGCATGATATCCTTCTCCAAGTAATGGTCCCTTCTGACAACATGACTAAAGTAGGTGAGATAAAGTCTGGCCATTCTCACTTGCAAGAAGCATTCTGGCTGCACTTCTTCCAGGACAGATCTGTTAGTTCTTCTGGCAGTTCATAGTACTTTCAGTATTCTTCGCCAACACCACAACTCAAAAGCACCAACTCTTCTTCAGTTATTCATTGTTCAGCTTTCACATGCATATGAGGCAACTGCAAATACCATGGCTTGGGTTAGGCACACCTTAGTCTTCAAAGAGACATCTTTGCTCTTTACTACTTTAAAGAGATCTTTTGCATCAGATTTTCTCAGTGCAATATATTTCACATGCATGAGGCAACTGAAATAAAATGTTTTGGGTCAGGTGAACCTTACACTTCAAAGCGACATCTTTGCTCTTCAAAACTTTAAAGAGGTCTTTTGCAGTTGATTCATCCAGTGCAATACAACGTCTGATTCCTTGACTGCTGTTTCCATGGGTGTTGACTGTGGATCCAAGTAAAATGAAAACTCTGACAACTTCAATCTTTTCTCCATTTATCATGATATTGCTTTTTGGTCCAGTTGTGAGAATTCTGGTTTACCTTATGTTGAGGAGTAATCCATATTGAAGACTGTACTCTTTGATATCATCAACAAGTGCTTCAAGTCAACTTCACTTACAGCAAGCAAGGCTGTGTCATTTGCATACCTCAGGTTGCTAATGGTTCTTCCTCCAATCCTGATTCCACATTCTACTTTAAAAAAGTCCGGCTTCTCAGATTATTTGCTCAGTATACAGAGCAAATAAGTCTAAAACCCTGATGCACACCCTTCTTGATTTTAAACCATTCAGTATCCCCCTTGTTCTGTTCCAGTGACAGCCTCTTGGTCCATGTACAGGTTCCTTATGAGCACAATTAAGTGTTCCAGAATTCCCATTCTTCATAATGTGATCCATAATTTGTTATGATCCACATAGTTGAATGCCTTTGCATAGTCAATAAAACACAGGTAAACATCTTGCTGGTATTCTTTTGCTTTCAGCAAGATCCATCTGATATCCCTTGTTTCAAGTCCTCTTCTGAATTTACCTTGAATTTCTGAAGTCCTCTGTTCATAAACTGCTCCAACCATTTTTGAATTACCTTCAGCAAAATTTTACTTGCATGTGATATTAATCATATTGTTCAATAATTTCTACATTCTTTCAATACATTAGAATTGATCAAAGGTTTTCTTCATATAATTTTCACAAATTTACTTACAATCACTTACATGTAATTAAATTATTGTTTTAATACTAATAAATTATTTGACAAATATAAAGTGTTTTGTATGATTTGAATTAATATAAAATTCAAATGATTATATGCAACTAGTATATCATGGAATCCTTCAAGAAAAGGTTATCATTTCAGCTGTATCTGTAAGAATGAAACTCAGAACTGAGTTCATCACATTATGGGAAGGGGTATACGTGTAAGAAACAAAAACAATCTGTATATTTGCAATAGAGTATTCATGAAACATTGTATTTACATTAAAACCATCAAGTCTACATTTAGTGAAACAAAACCTCTCTCAAGTAAAACTTTTCTTAATACTAGAAAATAAAGCCCATAGCTCTATTTTTAAAAATACTGACAATTTTTCACACATAAAGAATATATATATATAGAGAGAGAGAGAGAGGGAGGGAGAAAGAGAGACTTAAAAATTTTCCTGAAAAAAAAGAAGTATGCTTAGTCAAAAAATGCAGTCCACTGGAACCATACCTAATAGTGTGTACAACTTACTCCACCATTTTCTCAAAGTGCTCTCTTGACACAGGTTTGAGGTCCTGGCTGGAGGCCAGTAAGCTCCCCTTTCTGAACAGTTAATTAAATCCACTCTCCAACTACTCCCTTTATAAAGTTCTCACATTCAAGGACCAGGATGTATATGTTCTAATCTAATTGTCTCAGGACAGGTACTCAACAACTACAGACTGTACCTAGGTCCTCTGAGCCTACAAAATTATTCAAAATGCCCAATCCACAAAAAGCCCATGCAACCCAGCTAATGCCACTCTGCTTGCCATACATAAGGCCTCTTCTACAATTCCAGCTTGTTGTTACCTGGTACTCAGGTACAACTTCCTATGTAGCCCTGTGTCATGGTATACTATGCCTCCCTGGCACATACTCTAAGAACTGTATAATAAACCTAGTTATTTTTCATGGTCTCCCTGACTCCTCTTTCCTGCATTGCATCTGACTCACCATCTATGAATTTGTCAGAGCAAAAAGATAAAAGAAAATCCTCACAATTACTACTTTTCTCAAAACTCAGAAACTTGTATTTTATACTAAGTGAAGACAGTAAAACAAACTGAATATATATTACCTTGGCTGGTGTATGAATCCATATTGCTGGGTTCAGAAGAATATGATCACACAATTGCTTAAGTAAGGGCATCCCATTCTGCAGATTACTAAGATACTTGGAAAATGCAAGGCAAAGTTCAAGAACTGCTCTGCTGACATGGGATTTGGAAGACTGTAAGAGAAGTTCAAGGGTCACTAACAACTCAAGGCAAGATAACTATAGGCTGTAAATACCAGCAAACAGTTGACCCACAATCTATGCTCAAGTTAAAGATTCCATGAGGCTCAAAATCATATTTGCTCTAATAAAACAATAAATGGTTATATCTAATTTAGTTAATTTTATATAACCAAGTAGAAATGTTGTTCTTATTGTTATAAATACTTAACTACAAAGAGACAGAATTTCTTAACTACTCGGCAGTGCAAGTCTATGACCTAAAAATTAAGAATCAAAAACTTAAAGCATTTCATACTTTACCTTTTCAAGACTATACCCTATTACCAAGAAGCCCTTAGAGGCAAGCATCTGCTCTTGCATAGCAATTGAGTTCTTCAACAACTCCATAATAAAAGCCAGCAAGGTTGAACTGTAACAAGAAAGAAGGCAAGGCTTGAAACATGTAATTTCTATTATAACATATAGATTAGACAGATGCAGCCTCTTTTATTTTAATAAAGGACATTGAAAATCTACCAAAATTGCTTCCATATTAATTTCAGGACTATAATTTTAATGCTTTACAATTTAATCAAATATTTATATATTTTACCACAAAATAATCAGTGGATTATTTAGAAATAATACAAAAACCGTATAAAATACAGAAAAGTTAGCAACATCCAAAAACAAGTAATAGGAATGGCTAACATAAAAATTGATGATAACTTAGAGAAGTGTTGTTGTTGTTATGTGCCTTCGAGTCGGACCTGACTCATAGTGACCCCTCCTTGGGTTTCCGAGGCAGTACCACTACAGAAGTAGATTGCCCAACCTTCCTCCCGAGGAGTGGCTGGTGGGTTTGAATCGCCAGTCTTCTGGTTAGCAGTCAAGTGCCTTAGCCACTGTGCTACCAGAGCTCCTTCAATTTTGGAGAATTAGAAACTAAAAAGGGAGAAAAGATGTGTGAAGCAAAAGAACTAAGAGTGAAAATCCTCAAAATGCATTAGGGTTCCAGACTGACCTAGTCTGAATTGAGCAGAGGGCTTCATGAAAAGGAAGTAAGAAAATAAAATTAAGTTTTCAACAAACTTGAGGACCTCAAATACTAATTTAAGACGTTTACTCATTATCCAAAGAAGAAAATTATAATTAACAAGTCAATCTTGAAGAACTTTTTAAATTGAATAGGGACTACTGCCACGCTCCAGTCACAACTTTTAGAGGTAACTAAAAGGGAAGGGAACAAAGTCAGCTGTTACCTCCTTCTGAAAGGCTCTGAAAGATTTCCACAAGAAAGGGAATGGCTATTAGCCAACTGCTCCTTCCCAACAGTGCTTTTAACTGCTAGCAATTCTAATAAAGATACAGAAAAAGTCAAAAGTATAGTCAAGGAACTGCTATGAAGGTTTTAGATTAGGGCACCAAAAATTCTATGAAGCATACTATATCAAGGGTAATTTTCTTTTTGTTATTGTAAATTTCATTGACAAATATTAAATTTGATACCTCATTCCTTTTTTAAAAAGTACTTTTCCTGTCCAAAGATGATGTGCCCAAAGATATTCCCTCATCGACTGTGTACCCTGGTAGTAGACACCAATTGTACATAAAAGCAGAATTCAATGAGACAATTTCAAAAAGGAAGAGTAGAAAATGCACTTAAAATTTTCAAATAGTAAATGGAATAATTATATTTTGGAGTAAATAGTTTCAGCAGAAAAAATAGATTCAAAATTAGACGTGGGAAATTTATTGAGACATTCTGTCCCATATTTTATAACTTATCCTAGAAAGCATATGCCCCTGCATTTTCTAAATAAACATTGTAACAGAGGAGACAAAATGGCCAAATGTTCAATCTAATAACAAAAAAGACTAAATTATCTCTTACCTAAATCAAATATGCTGCCATAGAGTAGATTCCAACTCATAACAACCCTATAGGACAGAACAGAACTACACCTTTGGGTTTCCAAGGCTATAAATCTTTACAGAAGCATATTGCTTCATCTTTCTCCTGTACAGTATCTGGTGGCTTTGAACCACCATCTTTTGGTTAGCAGCCAAATGCCATAACTACTGCACCACCAGAGCTCCTACCTCTTATCTAGCACCATCAAAAATCTTGGCTTTCTTAGAGGGTAGATACTTACTAAGTTGGGTGAAGGTAAATGCAAAATACAATAAGGGGAGAGTGAGCACAAAATGATCAAGGCAAAGAAACACCCTGAGAGGAGCATAAGAATTCAAAGAACAAAGATAAATACCATTACATACACAATCCTGCAATAACAGTAATAACAATAATCAACAACTGGATACACAGATAAGACACTCAAGCTAAACAGCTGTGGCAAAGTCAATAGGACTACACCCATGAATATATATATAGGTTTGACAGAGAATATTTCTACATATGTATTTAATGTGATGCTAATATATCCATGTCTACAATAATATATATATGGGCAAAGTTATGAAAACTTCCTAGTCATAACCAAACACCTTGAGGGAATGAGTCACTGAGCATGGGGGCTCAGGACTGTAATCGTGGGGACACTGAGGTCAATTGGCATAACATAGTTCACAAAGACAGTGTTCTACATCCTACTTTGGTGAGTAGCCACTGGGGTCTTAAAAGTTTGTGAGCACCATCTAAGGTACAACTACTGGTCCTCCCTGTCTGAAGAAAAGAAGAATCAAGAAAAACAAAGATGCAAGGAGCAATTAGTCCAAAGGACTAAGGGACTACATGAACCCCAAACTCCACAACTCCAAGACCAGAAGAATTAGATGGTGTCTGGCTACCACAGGTGACAGTTCTAAAACGGATCACAATAGGAAGTCCTGAAGAGTGGGAGAAAATGTAGAACAAATTCAAAATCATTAAAAAAAAAAAACCAAGTTTACTAGTCTGACAGAAACTGGTAGAACCCCCGAGACTATGGCCCTCAGATGCACCTCAAGTCAAGAAACTAACTCACCCTCTGACTCAACTTTCCACCAAACAATAGGCCTATAAGGGGAACAATAATACCAGGAAGGTATAAATTCATTAGAACAATCAACCATACAAGATTGAAAGGGCAGCATTTGCCCAGGGATAAAGCTGAGAAGGCAGGAAGGGATAGGAGAGAAAGATGAAGGGAAATGATAAACGTAGGGAAGAAGTGGGAAGAATGCTGTTACACTGTGAGGACTGCAACGAATGACACAAAATGAAGTGTGTATAAATTGTTGAATGGAAAACCAATTTGTTCTGCAAACTTTCATCCAAATCACAATTAAAAAGAAAAATTTGGCTTTCAATTATTTATGAACATTCAGTTATAAATAATTAAAATATAAAAAACTAAATTCTCATAACTGCCAAATAAAATTTAAAATATTGTTTTCAATTAAAAATGTATACATTTTTATCTAAATAAATCCACTATTATCACCATTTCTAACTTTATTCTGAAACATTACTAGGTTTTGGAGTTTCCGTACCTCCTATGATAAACAACAATCTAAATTAATACTATTACTGGTACAAATTTGTGATACTATCTATAGTTCACAAATTTCTTTAAATTATATTCTCTCTTTTGACTCTACACCAAACCTGAAAAGTATAGAAGATAATCATTCAGCTCAACAGTGATAAAAGCAATTCTCACACCAAATTAAAGAAAAAAATTAAAGGTACTCACCACACAGTTAAGTCAACATCATCAGACAAATATTGCCTGTAATCCAACTGTGCAAAAAGTGGAAAAAGCACTTGTACTCCTCCAATTGAATGCATAGCACTTTGGATGGAATGTGTTAAAACTGCCTTCACATCCTTATAAAATACAACACATTATAAGAATTTCAATGATTTCTTTTTCAAAACAATAAAAAAATAAAGGACAACGTCCCACTAAAATATTATATCTCGTGTATTTATAAAAGCTACCAAAAAATCCAAACTCACTGCCACTGAGTTGATTCCAACTCATAGCGACCCTATGAGACAGGGTAGAACTGCCCCCATAGGATTTTCAAGGCTGTAAATCTTTATGGAAGCAGACCGCCTCATCTTTCTCCCACAAAGCAGCTCATGGGTTCAAATGCTGACTTTTGTTAGCAGCCACACTCTTTAACCATTGTACCACCAAACAAAAAAAAAAACAAACTCACTGCTACCAAAGACACCTAAATAAAACATCAAAACTTATACTCACAAATACTGTTAAAAGATCATAGTACCTGAAGCATGAGGGCATGTGGTGAATGAACAAAAACTGAAGGGTTATCCTTAGGGGACGATTCAAGACAGAGCTGGGCATCTGTAGCCCTTGGATTGTATGTGAACGCAATGGCACTAGAGAGTTTGCCATCATACAATAAAAGTTTGTGGTGCTCAGCAAGGAAAAGGTCGCTTTCTGCTTTGAATTTAAACGTTCCCTAAGAATCAACAGAAAAGAGAACAGTTAAGATAATATCCTACAAAACCAAAATCTAAACACAAATCACCACAGACATAAATATTTAAAGAGAAATACCACTCATAATTTTTGTAGCAATATCAAGTAAGAAAAGCCCAGGTAGTTTAATTACTTCTAAAATGTGCTGAATTCGTTTTAAAGATATAATGGATATGAAGTAAATTTGAGATCAAAACCTTATGTTAGTAAAATATAAAACTTAGTATCCTATAGAGAACTATTATTTTCCAAATAATAGTTCTAAGAAATCACAGGCAAGCATTAAAAAAAAAAAAAAAGAAGAAGAAAATTTGAAGTATCACCAATTACAGAAACTAAAGGGAATGCCTGCAGCTATCTGTGAATCCTGAAGTGGGACAGAGACTGTCTGTATCACTCAGATTTTAATACGGAACTTTCAGAAGGATGTTACTAAACTTATCACCATGATCCATTTCATTTTTCTGTAACTTCTATCTCAAGATAAATTACTGAAATTTTAAAGTATATATTTAATAGTTTCTGAAAGATTTTTTAATGAAAGTTTTAATTAGAGTGAAGATTTTGTCACTGAACATATTTAAAATAACTAAAATAAGTGTCTTTGGGGGAGAACTCCCTTTGGACAAACTAAAAAAGCTAACCTATTATTGTGTTACACAAATAATAGCTATATGATTGTGGAGATTATAAAGTCAAACTTCTAGAGACAAATTAAAGAAATTAATTGATTATTAGAGTCCACAAAGTTCATTTGTGGCAAAGTAAAGATTAAATACCAATTGAAGAAAAATAATTTACTTTTTGGTTCTAATCAAGTACTACAGGTCAAAATTTCAAGATAAATTTTGGAGAAAGAAACATCTAAATAGACCTTTTATTTTGTATTCTGTATGGAATTTATAGGAGCTCTGGTGGTGTAGTGCCTAAGGCATTTGACTGCTGGGTATTCGATCCTAAAAACAAATTTTTAGTACTTTATTTAGTAAAGAAGAATTTTTAAATAGAGAAATATTAAAATCAGTTAAATTATTTTGGGGGCTCAAGAGAAAACCTAACCCAAAATAAACAGGCAAAAACAAACTACTTGTCAAAAAGGCTTACATAAATAAATTATGACTTGGATATTTTTAAAATTTTCAATACAGAATGTTTTAGTACCTTATTTTGTCAAATAAAATTCTTCTACATTTCAAGAATTTAAAATTGCTATCAGTAACGCCATTAAATAAACTATGAAAAGTTTTTAAAAATGACATTTTAAAGCTATTTTCTACATTGAATTCTAAGACATTATCATTGCTAATGTATATATATATAAACAAAAATTTCTATAACAGCAAAACAAGAAAATTTATACAGATTCTAAAGGCATAAGATAAAATTCTTACAGTAACTCATGAAATATTGATTATACAAAATAAACGTTCAGCCTTTCATTTTCTTTCTAAACACATATTTTACAGCTTTAAAATACCTGATCAATTACAATGTTTTAAATATCAGTCTGAGACTGCTGGTATTCTTTATCTGTTAGTTTGTATCAGCTTATTTGAGGAATTCTTTAAACCATGGATTATACTATATGATAGATTTTAACAAGAACAAGCAAAGCAAAGAGTAAGTCTGTTATATTATTACCAATTTCTCATCTCACATCATTGTTACTATACTTTTACCACTACGTGATCATACAAGTGAAAATAGAACAGATATTCATATATAAAGGTGAATATCAATGCTTAGATTATGTCAACAACTAAAATCAGCAGTTATTTCTACCCATTTACTACTAAAGTGTCCCCTGAGCTCTATTATTATTTCATAGAAGCAAATAAGAAAGTCAAGGGTTTAAAATGCTACAAAGAAACATTAACTCACTATATTCAAACCAAGCTTGACTTAAGATGATACTCTTCTTTCAGTAATATTCAAGAAAAGTTTTAATTGCTAACAAATGTTCAAATCTCTTATAATACAATAGCCTAATACCAAGTACAAAACAACCAACCATTTTACATAAACTAGGTGTAACAAATACCTTCTAAGGAAATGTTCTATTACTTGATTACTATGTAAGTTAAATTTTTGTCAAACTTCAATTAAAATCTGTGTAATAAATTTATGTATAATATGTATCATAAATTTGTAAGTCATTTTTATGTAAATCAACTCAATAAAGTTCATGTTGTTTTAAGAGGAACATAGCAGACATCGAACCCCAGACTATCAATGGCTTAACCCAAAGGTTAGGAAACTTTCCCAGTTCACAGCCCTCTTAGCATCTCAGTAATATATTCACACAACTCTTAGCCAAAATAAACAGTGAACATTTCAGTTCATTAAGTAATTTGTTCCAAACAACTTTTTATTTTAACAGTTTAAAACCCATCTCAAAATAATAATGCACAAATTCAAAGAAAAATAACATTTTTATTTCATTCTTAAATAAGCAAAATTCCTTATTAATAGGCTATCTCTGCATCTGAGCACTGCATAAATGCTCAAACCCTGGAATCAGACTTTAAACTGTCACCTTCATTTCCTGATTTTCAAACAGTATTTGCTTTTTATCATAGGAAATGTTCTATTTCCTATGCAAAGACACGACAACATCAAAAGAAACTAACATGAAATAAGATTAAACTTTTGCCCCACATGTGTCAGGTATCACTGTGTTTCCCTCAAAGATTTAATTTAAAATACCCTCAGCAACCCTGAGTTCCCGACAGTGCACCTGGTGACCTTGACACAGCAGTTGGGTAATCCAAGGTAACTGACCCCATGCATCACCCATTTTCAAATTGAGCTCATCTAACCTAGGTTAAGCAGGGAACATAAGTAAAGTACCTTGTATCCCAGGCCCAATTGATAAATAGCAAATATCTGAGCTGCATTAAGAGCGTCACTAAAAAGGTAAACTGCAGTCATCTGACCACAAAACACTCGATTAGCATCTGCCGTTTCTGAGGAACCCAGGAAGCATTTGTCAAATGTCTGTGAAGGAAAACATTTCATTAGAGAAAAACAAAACAAAACAAAAATCTCTTCTCCAGACATAATAAAAATCTATACTAAAATAAGGGAGCTCTGGTAGCATAGTGGCTAAGGCACTTGGCTGCTAACCAGAAGACTGGCGGTTCAAACCCACCAGCCACTCCTCGGAAGGAAGGTTGGGCAATCCTACTTCCGTAGTGATACTGCCTCGGAAACCCAAGGAGGGGTCGCTATGAGTCGGGTCCGACTCGACGGCACATAACAACAACAACAACAACATACTAAAATAAATGGTTTGTCCATTCCAAACTAAAATCTGAATAGATTAAAACAATCTATTTACCATTTCACTTCAACCATTCCTATTTCGAATGGTGATAAGGAAATATATCATGGAAAAGGAGATAACACAGTTTTTCAAAGAACAGTAAGTAAAACGTAGGAAACAAGTAAAAGTTGTAGGAAACTAACTGAATGTAGGAAAAGGATTACAGAATCTGAAAGTTCATACTTGGGCAACCAAAGATCCAGATAGAAGAGTAAGCTCGTATCAAGGAGGAAAATAATGAATTAAGTTTAGGACACACTGAATGGGCTTTTTCTGTGAATTAATATGGATGGAATTGAAAAATTAAAAAGCAGTAACCCACCAGCCACTCCTCGGAAGGGAGGTTGGGAAGTCTACTTCCGCAGTGATACTGCGTTGGAAACCCAAGGAGGAGTCGCTGAGTCGGGTCCGACTCAACATCACATAACAACAACAACAACAATCAAGAGGGAAAGCTGGACAGACAGTAGTACACAGTTAAGATGGTGTGGTAGTTAAGTTTGTGTATCAACTTGGCTGGGCCTGGTTGAGTGGCTGAGTAGTGGATGTAGTATTCCCCATGGTGAGACTGGTAATTAACTCCATGATGGAATCTACTGAAGCAGCTGGGTAGCTGCTTTAGGAATATGGGCTGTTTCCAGTATATAAGCAGCAAATTTGAGGAAGTTCTGCAGCTTATGGCATGTTTGAACCCTACGTGTAGCTGAGTCGTTGTTCAGCAGCCTGCCATGCTCTGTCAATCCTGGGAATTTCAATGGGCTTGAATCAAGGGTCTGCTGTGTGGTTTGGTAATAGCAGGACTATGCCTTTTCATTTGTTGACCTTGGGTTTGTCAGCCTCAGTAGCCAGCAGCTGCCTGACTGAAGAGATGCCTCTAGCTTCAGTGGGCCGGGAGTAAAGAGGCAAAGCTGAAGCCCAAGGTCTAGGGGCTTTTACCCAGCCCCTAGAACCTGGCAGTTTGAACTTGGACTTGTAGCCTCCCAAACTGTAAGAGCATAAACTTCTGTTTGTTCAAGCATCCTGTTTGTGGGATCTTCTGTTAGAGTGGCACTAGATAACCAAAACAGATGGGTATAGGGAGGGAGTAGTATTAGGAACAGGACAGGAGGGGAGGAGAGTTTGTTATGGTTGGGGATGGTACTCGGGGAGTGAAATCAAAAGTACAATGAACTGTTGAACGTAAAACAAATTTTGCTCTGTAAATTTGCACCTAAACCACAATAAAATTTTAAAAAATATTTGAAAATAAAAAGCGGTAATCAATAGTAATAGTAAGTTGGATAAGTAAAAGCTGGAAAAACATTCTTGCAGGTATCAATATAGAGATGGTGGTGAAGTCATGAGAATAGATAAAATTTCTGAAAAATAATGTATAAGAAAAGCAGGTTTTCCATAATAAAAAAAATTGTCTAGTGATGCTCATGTGGCAAAGGACACATTTTTACAACCCATGTGTACCAAAGAAAGGAAACAAAGTCCCCCTGTATCTTAAAAAGTATCACTTCATACTATGAGACCATTATATTTTTATTTTATTAATGAATTAAAGTCTTAGCCAAATTATGAGTATAAAAAGCCATTTGTGGTATTCTAAAGTTTATATGCAAGCTCTAAAATTTTTTTATTTAAAAAGTTCCTGCTTTAAAATTATATATATATATATATATATATATATAATTTTTATAATACATAAACATGTTGTTGTTTATTTAATTTTTCACTGTAACATTTTCAAACTACTTACATCACTGGTGTTAACAAACCAAGTTATCTCTCCATAGGAGGCTAGCTCGCCATTCACATAGCATCGAAGCTCACTATTCTTCCATCGGTTATAAATGTGCACTATTGTTACCATATACCACTGAAAGAGCAAAAATAATTTTCAAAAAGATGATAATCTCAGTAACTAAATCATATTGATAATAACAAGTTAAAACTAAATGATAAATGTTATTCAACTTAGAAACAAAATAGGAGTACTTTATTAAATTCAATATTCAACCTCTGGATAAATACTTATTCAGAGAATTTGTAATTGATGTGAACGGAACCTCTAAATTATTTTCCAACTTTTATTATGAAAATTTTTAAATATACAAAAAAGTTGAAGGTCTAATACAAACACCCTCTTTTCTACTGTATAGATTCTACAATTTTTAACATTTTTCTGAATTTGCTATACCTATCTATCAATCATCTACTTAGGGGAGCTATGGTAGCATAGTGCCTAAGGCATCTGACTGCTAACCAGAAAGGTGGCAGTTCAAACTCACCAGCCACTCCTCAGAAGTGAAGTAGGGCAATCTACTTCCGTAGTGATATTGCCTAGGAAACCCTAAGAGGGGTCGCTATGAGTCAGATCGGACTCCATGGCAGTGCGTTTGGTTTTGTATCATCTACTTATCTATGTATATGTATAATATGGATATGTATACATATTTTTGATGAACCATCTATTAATCTAAAAATTCTAAGTAAAAAGGAAAGTGTAAGTTTATACTAGTAAAATAATTGTCAATGATATTTTCCCCTGGACTTTCCTTCAACTCCATAGATAACTATCCAATTTTTTATTATCAAAAAAAATAAGAGGTTAACAATTGTCCAGTGATTTACAGTTCATTTTCTGAAACAGTATGAAAAGAGCTGTGATTTACCTATCTTATGCAAGTAACTTTAAAACAAAGCATTTTGAAGGCTAGCATAACTTGTTAACTAACTATGACTTAAGTAAGTTAACATACCTTTTGGGGCTTGAAATCAAATTTCACACAGTGTTGAAAGCCTTTTCCCTTTGATTTTATTGACGTTATAATCAAACAGCCTCCAACAAAGTGAGCAGAATAACCAAGACCTTTACTGGTTCTGAAACTATGAAGAATAAGTTTCATTTTACCACTAAATATTTTTCTCATTTTCCAAGTAAAGTAATAACAATCACAGAAAATACATACCAATATAAATACGGTTTATCCTTATCCACATTGATATTATTTACAGGATCCATTCTAAGCCAAGTATGAAATGTAAAACCATTCTGGTATGGCCATTTGGCTATAGGAGGTAATGCAATAGCCTTCAGGAAAGAAACTTTAAGTTAGTAACTCACATGAAAAGCCTCACTGAAATCATGAAAATAAGACTTTACAATGCTATATATAATTCTATTACATCATATTCTCCTATGTCACAATTCATATATCTAGAAGACTTATAATAACTTCTGGATTTCCCCAAATACACAGTAATGATGTTAACTTACTTAAATGAAAGAAACATTAACTGTGACCTGTTGGACATAATGGTCTTGTTTGTTTCATTTCTTAGAACAAACATATCCAAAGAGATTCCAAATAAAGAAATAGTGATATCAAAGTGCAAGTCTATTACTGAAATTTTAAGGTCTTAGAATAGTAAAATAAAAGCTTGGTATATACTTCCTCTTTTAATACAGAAAACAATTAGTTCATAACATTTTTGGATTGTAATCAGAAGTCACTATATAAATGGCTTTACAATTTGGATTAAAATTTAGAAGATCAAAGTACATAATGAAAGGGATCCCGAATAGCGAAGACAATCTTGAAAAAGAAAAACAATGTTTCCACTTCCAATTTCAAGATTTATCATAAAGCTACAGAAATCAAGACAATGCTACTGGCATAAAGACAAAAATAAAGATCAATGGAATAGAGTAAGTCCAGAAATAAATATTACCTTATATTTACTGATTTTTAACAAGGGTACCAAGATCATTCAATGGGGAAACAATCATTTTCTCAATAGACAAGTAGGTATCTACATGTGAAAGAATTAAGTTGACCTCTTTCTTACATAGGACACAAAAATTAACTCCAAATGTATCTATCACAGACCTAAATGAAAAACTAAAACTATAAAACTTACAAAAAAACACAGGAGTAAATCGTCATAGTCTTGGGTGAGACAAAGCCTTCTTAGACAAGACACCAAAAAAAGCACAAGCAACAAATGAAAAACAGGTAAACTGGGCTTCATCAAAATTTAAAACTTTGTGTTTCAAAGGACACCATGAAGAAAGTGAAAATACAAGCCACAAAATGGGAAAAAAAATATTAAAATTATATATCTTAAAGGGGACATGTACCAAAAATACATAAAGAAATATGACAATTCAATTGGGAAAAAAAAAAACATAAATAAGCCAAGTAAAATACAGTCAAAAATATGAATAGACATTCTACCAAGCAAAAGATACAAATGCCCCCCCCCAAAAAAAAAATCAGTAAAAGATGCTGAGCTTATGATTCATTAGGAAAATTCATATTAAAACCACAATGAAGTATCATTTCACACCCAAGAAGATGGTTATAATCAAAATATCAGATCATAACAAGTGGACAATAAACCAAAAAAACCATATCATTGCTGTCGAGTCATATCTGACTCACAGTTACCCCCTCCTTGGGTTTCCAACATGGTTTCACTGCAGAAGTAGATTGTCCAACTTTCCTTTCAAGGAGTGGTTGATGAGTTTGAACCACCAGACTTCTGGTTAGCAGTCAAATGTCTTAGGCATTATGCCACCAGAGCTCCCAAGTGGACAATAATATACATAGGCTTTAATTTCTCCACATCCAAAGTAGACAATAGGATGTGGAGAAACTAGAGCCCACATATATTACTGTAAGGAGCTCTGGTCCCGTAGTACCTAAGGCATATAACTGCTAACCAGAATGTTGGTGGTTCAAACCCACCAGCCACTCCACGGAAGGAAGACTGGGCGATCTACTTGCATAAAGATTTACCACTTTCGAAACTCAAAGGGGATCACTATGAGTCAGAACTGACTCAATGGCAGTGAGTTTGGTTTTCTCGGTTTACACTGCAGATGTTGTTGTTGTTGTTATGTGCCGTCGAGTCGAGTCGGCCCCAACTCATAGCGACCCCTCCTTGGGTTTCCGAGGCAGTATCACTACGGAAGTAGGATTGCCCAACCTTCCTTCCGAGGAGTGGCTGGTGGGTTTGAACCGCCAGCCGTCTGGTTAGCAGGCAAGTGTCTTAGCCACTATGCTACCAGAGCACACTGCAGATAGAATTATAAAATATACAGTCTCTTTGGAAACAGTGTGGCAGTTCATGAAAATGTTAAACACAGACCATATGACCCAGCAATTCCACTCTTAGGTATACACCTAAGAGAAATGAAAACATACTTCTCCATAAAACATGCACAAATGTTCATAGCAGCATTATACCTAATAGCCAAAAAAATGTAATCAACCTAAATGTCCATCAATTGATGAATGGGTAAATGACATAATGGAATATTATTCATTCATAAAGGAATCAAGTACTGATATATGCTACTACATGGATGATCCTTGAAAATATTATGCTAAATGGAAAGCAGTCACAAAAAAAAAAAAAACAGACAATGTACAAGTCCATTTATTTAAAATGTCCAGAACAGACAAATTTATAGAGACATAAAGTAGATTAATGGTCACCTCGTGCTGGGGGCTTGAGGGGATTGGGGAGTTACAGCTAATGAGTGCGAAGTTTCTTTTGAGAGTGATGAAAATGTTCTGAAATTATATGGTGGTAGTGCACAACTCTGTGAGTATAGTAAAAATCAGTAAATTGTACACCCTACATGAGTGAATTGTATGTTATCTCAATTTTTTTAAATAAAGCTATTTAAAAAAAATCATAGTATATAAGTTTTTGTTTCATTGTTATAACATATATGCATTTTTATGTATACATCATATACATATAGTCTTTCACATGTATTAAATACTGTGTAAAATACAGAGCCAAATTTATATAAAACACTACTGAGACCTCATAAAGCTGATTTAAAATAAATGTTGCATTAAGGAAAAACATAAGAGAAAATATATTTGGTGTACTCCTATGAGAATGGAAATGTGAAAGCTTTGTAAATATATTCATCTACGAATATTTTTACTTCCATTTAAAATATAAGGAAAAGAGTCATTGAAAATATATTTAAAATACATATCCCTTAAAAGTATAAAGCTGATAAGCTGAACTGCTCACTGCTGTACTTCCAAGATAAATGCAGGTGAGTGGAATAGACACTATAATCTCAAAGAGCTTTAAATATTAAATCATAATGTGGTACATGATAAAAACAAATAAACTTTTAAAAAAGCTTAGCAATCTTATGAGGACACTCTTTTATGTTAGAGGCACATAAAAGGCTCAAAGCCAAGATAGTAAAGTTATTCCGGTAAGCTTCAAATTTAAAATGCTTAATAAGGAAAGAATTATAAAGAAATAAAATATGAACAACAAAATTTTCCAGAGACTTGTATATGTAACATTCAAATTTCACACATGACCTCTTCAAGCACACTTGCATCTTTCTGCAGATATTATCTAACTACTTGGAGCCTAACAAAGAAATAATATCTTATGAGAACCAGAATAAAACCTGAGTAAGAGATTAAGCTCAGAAACAGAATAGGCAGAAATGTCTATGAAAGAAATTTTGCTTGAAACAGGCTGACCAATGTAGTAAGAAGGTTAAAAAGCCTCCCATAAGTAACATACATACATACAATGCACTCCTATAACATTTGAAGGGATCTCTGGTGGTGCAATGGTTAAAGCATTTGGCTGCTAACCAAAAGGTCAGCAGTTCGAACCCACCAGGTGCTCTGCAGAGGAAAGAGGAGGCAGCCTGCTTTCACAAAGATTATAGCCTTGGAAACTCTATAGGGTAGTTCTACTCTGTCCTACAGGGTGGCTATGAGTCAGAATTGACTCAGTGGAAGTGGGTTTGGTTTTTTGGTTATAACATTTGGAACAATACAGATATTACTACCAATTATAATTTTCTTATTTATAAACAGACTAAGGGTTTATAAGTAAAAATGGCTAAGACTTCCATCATTTGAAAACTCATGTCAGGAATATCTGCCTAATTGGTTTAAAGAGTTACTGTCAATCTATGCACCAGATACAAAAGAGATAAGGGTAGGAAAATGTGAGGCTAGAGAAAGATCCCTAGAAAAATAGAAAGTAAAGGTGTCAAATTACACACAAACATTTGAGTATGCAGAGATAAATTCATAAGACAAAAGAGCTTATGTTCAAAAAGAATTAAAGTCTTGTTCCATTGCTGCCCCAAGTTGAGAGTGAACTGCTTTCTTAACCTCTTTTAGCTTCTATTTCATCACCTCTGAAATAGTTAGTAGGAAGTTAAGATACACAATTCTTGCAAGGATTAAGTCAGGTCCTGTAGAGACATGTCTATCTAACACAGAACTTGTCAGTGGTGTTTGCAGGGCTGTACATTCCAGAAGCAAAAGGAAGGAGAGTATCAAGTGATTTCCTCATTGAGATTACTTACTGCGGCACTCTTTCCTGGGAAGTTGAAAAAGGCATCAGGACCGTACTTCTGAGGCATGTGCTTTAATACAGATAGTAACTTCCCAGCATGTGGAGGCTATGAAGACAATCAACAATTTATTCACTATTTTTTATTTACAACTGATATATATTACATATATATATATATATTTGTTGTTGTTATGTGCCATCGAGTTGGAAGCAACTCATAGCGACCCCTCCTTGGGTTGCCAAGGCAGTATCACTACGGAAGTAGATTGCCCCATCTTCCTTCTAAGGGTTGCTGGTGGGTTTGAACCACCAGCCCTCTGGTTAGCAGTCTACTGCCTTAGGCACTATGCTACCAGAGCTCCTATATATATATATATATATAGTTATAGTTATAGTTATAGTTATAGTTATATAATTATATATATTATATATATAAATAATTTTTTTTTTTTCAATAAAGCTATGTTTTAATATACAGGTAGTTCCTGACTTATGATCAGGGTCTGTTTCAACAACTCTGTCATAAATCATTCTGACACAATCTAATACTTTTTTTCTTTTTTAAAGTTTTCATTATAATTGGGTCTTATTGTTAGTATCTTTATAAACATGATTTGCATTTCTCTTTGGGCATTGGAAACATTACATATAAGCTACACATATGTGCCACCAACAAATTACCACTGCAACATTGTATGCAGTACTTATTACTAACGATAAGATGTATTTAAAAAAAAAAAAAGACAGTAGTAGTAAGTGCAATTTGTCATCATTCAAATGTGTCTTATATCTGGGACTACCTGTACACAAGAATCAATGCTGTAAACTAAAAAACAGAAAATAACCAAAAAGGTTATTTTCAATTATCTCACAGAAATTAACAATGCTCTCTATGCCACTCTTTAACACTTAGAACATACCAGATGTTCAATAAATACAAGCCAATATCATTTGACACTTGAAACTATTCTCCACATTGTATCAAGAATGATTTTTTAAAAATAAAAAGTACAGTACACCAGTGTTCACTGCAGCATGTTAGCAATTAAAGATACAACCACCTAAATACCCATCAACAGAAGAATATGTAAACAAAATGTAGTACATATATACAATGGAATAATACTCAGCCATAAAGAAAATGAAGTCCTGATACTAACTACAACCTGGACGAACCCTGAAAACATGCTGAGTGAAGTTAGTTGATCACAAGAGGACAAATATTGTATGATTGAACTAATACGAACTACCTAGAACAGACAAATGTATAGCAATCAGAGTTGAATAGTGGTTACCCCCAGGGGCAGGAGAGAGAGGGAAATTAAGAATCATTGTTTAGGAAGCATTGAGTTTCTGTTCATTGTGATACAAAATTTGGTAATGGATACTGGTGAAGGTTGAACGACACAAGTGATATAACTGGTGTCACTAAAATGTATACAAGAAAAATTACTCAATTGGAAAATTTTATGCAATCTATATTTTTACAATTAAAATAAATACAAAATATATCAAACCTCCCCACTCTATTGAAAAATAACTTCTAATTTAATAAATACTTAAATAATTTCTTCCATTTACCACTGTTAAAGACATTTTTAAAACACTGAAACAGTTTAAGCCTCATAACCACACTATGACATGGTAATATAACTATCGCCATCTTATGTTGTTGTTGTTGTTGTTATATGCCATCAAGTCGGACATGACTTATAGCGACCCCTCCTTGGGTTTCCGAGGCAGTATCACTAGAAATTACGGCACAGGAACTTGTCCAAGATCACTTAGGTAGTAAGTGACAGAACTCAACCTGACTCCAGAGTCTATGCTTTCAGGCATTGTATTTTTCCATTGTATTATGTTATCTAGGAAGCTCTGATGACAAGGTAAGTAAACCATTTGGCTGGTTAACCAGAAGGTTAGTGGTTCAAACCTATCAACTGCTCCATGGGCGGAAGATAAGCCAACCTACTTCTGTAAAGACTTACAGTCTTGGAAACCCAGCAGGGGTCACTATAAGTCAGAGTCAACTCAATGGCAAAGGTTTTGGTTTTCTGGTTTTATTTCTTGTGTAACTTCTCACTGTCTTTAAAACAAGGACCAATATCTTTATCAAGCCCTACAAGATACTGGATGGTCTGACCCCTTCTACCTCTGAAACATCTCATTCTCCCTTTCTTTCTGCAATCCACCCACAACGCCCTCTCCCAGATCACCCACAATAAGGCCTTAACATAAGCTATTATTCCCTTTGCTTGAAATGTTCTGACTTGCCCACTCCACCCCATCTTAACCAGGTAAATCTTACCCATCCTTTAGAGTTTATCTTAATGGTTTCTTCCTCAGGGAAATCCTGCCTGAACTCTGTGACTGGATTAAATCTCCCTACTATCCATCTTCATTTCACAGTATACCTCTCTACTACCCAGCATGTATAAAATTTGTAATGTTACATTTATTTGATTACTGCCTCTTTGGCCCCCAAATCTCCTCCAATACATGAATCAACAAACAACTAAATATAAAAGCTCATTTACATACACAAGGAAAAGCAAAGGACAATGGAATATGCATTATCATTCTAATCAGTTTACAAGCAAACAAGATAAAGCATAGGACAGTTCTCTTTCCTAAAAGGTTGTTGTTGCTGTTATGTGCCATCAAGTCATCTCCCAACTCATAGCGACCCCTCCTTGGGTTTTTGAAGTGGTATCTCTAGGGAAGTAGACTGCCCAACCTTCCTTCCAAGGAGCTGCAGGTGAGTCTTAACTGCTAGCCTTCTGGTTAGCAGTCAAGTGCCTTAGGCACTACGAGTTCAAAACTGAGTCAAACTACAAACGAAATCATTGGTTTGCCCTTAACCTACTTTAGTACCTATGATAAGTTATCATTGTTATTGTTGTTGTTGTTGTTGTTAGGTGCCGTCATTTCCAACTCATAGCGACCCCACGCACAGCAGAATGAAACACTGCCCAATCCCACGCCAGCTCCACAATCCCTGCTATACTTGAGCCCATCATCGCAGCCACCATCTCAATCCATCTCGTTGAAGGCCTCCCCCTCTTTCGTCGACCCTCCACCCTACCAAGCATGAGATCCTTCTCCAAGGAATGGTCCCTTCTGACAACATGACCAAAATAGGTGAGACGAAGTCTGGCCATTTTTGCTTCCAAGGAGCATTCTGGCTGCACTTCCTCCAGGACAGATCTGTTAGTTCTTTTAGCAGTCCATGGTACTTTCAGCATTCTTCACCAGCACCACAACTCAAAAGCATCAACTCTTCTTCGGTCTTCCTTATTCATTGTCCAGCTCTCACTGCATACGAGGTGATTAGAAATATCATGGCTTGTGTCAGGCGCACCTTAGTCCTCAAGGAGACATCCATGCTCCTCAGCACTTGAAACAGTTCCTTCGCGGTTGACTTTCCCAATGCTACACGTCTTCTAAGGTCCTGACTGCTGCTTCCGTTGGCATCGATTGTAGAAACAAGCAACGTGAATTCTTTGACAACCTCAATCTTCTCTCCATTTATTGTGATGCTGCTCATTGGTCCAGTTGTGAGGATTTTTGTTTTCTTTATATTGAGACGTAATCCATACTGCAGACTGTATTCTTCAACCTTCATCAGTAAGTGCCTCAAGTCATCCTCACTTTCAGCAAGCAAAGTTGTATCATCTGCATATCTCAGGTTGTTAATGATTCTTCCTCCAATCCTGATGCCACATTTTTCCTCATATAGTCCACCTTCTCGGATTATTTGCTCAGCATATAGATTGAATAAGTGTGGGGAAAGGATACAACCCTGTTATAATTAGTCATTGTCTAAAAGAGTTTGGCAAATTATTAATTAGATATTAAGGGGAAAGCTGTATTCTCAAGAGATAATCAAATTTTCAATTAATCATACCGCTCAATAACAAAAGTGCAATAACAACTAATTTCAATCACACTTAACTTCTTTTAATAATTTTCAAAATGAAATAAGCCAAAACAACCCTATTGTTAAAAATAAAAGTACAGTATTAATTTCCATCCAAAGAAGTCATTCCTCCAAATTTCCTTTTCTATAAACCAACAAACAAAAGAATAGATTAAAATAAGCCTTTTCCTCCACAGACACTGCTGAAAAAGCTCTTTAGACAACAATTTAGCAGCATATTTCAAGAGTCTTTAAAAATCTATCTTAAAGTAATAATCAGAAAGGCAGATATATATTTAGACATAAGGATTTTTCTGTACTGCTTCAATTGCAAGAGATGAAAATAACCTGAATGTCTAAAAATAAATAGCTAAACAGCTGTAATAGATGTCTGAGCAAGACCTATCTTTTGTTTTATTAATAGTTTCTTATCTTTTCCTTTTATTCCTTACACTTATTCTATATTTCTCCATCTCCCCACAGGCAATATAATAATATGTTTAATAATTTTTATGTGTTCCTTTAAAATGTGTACTTGTACATAAGGAGCTCTGGTAGCATAGTGGCTAAGACACTTGCCTGCTAACCAGACGGCTGGCGGTTCAAACCCACCAGCCACTCCTCGGAAGGAAGGTTGGGCAATCCTACTTCCGTAGTGATACTGCCTCGGAAACCCAAGGAGGGGTCGCTATGAGTCGGGGCCGACTCGACGGCACATAACAACAACAACAACAACTTGTACATATAATTTAAATGAGTGATGTTAGGTTAGATACAAAGTTCTCTTTCTTACTTTGTTCCTATGTTTTTTGCATCTATTCATATTACTCCATACACGGATTCTAACTGCTACGTAAAAATCGATTCTATATATCCATCTGTCCACTCTCCTAATGATGAACACCATGTTAACAATTCACTACCATCAAAAATAAGGCTTATATATTTCCTTCTGGAACTAATGTAAGAATCTCTTAGAATATGTAGTCAGGAACAGAACTGATAAATCAGTAGGTAGGAGCTCTGTAGTAGGAAAAGCTTGGCTGCTAATCAGAAGGTTGGCAGTTAAAACCCATCAGTGGCTCTGCAGGAGGAAGATGAGGCAATCTGCTTCCATAAAGATTTACAGCCTTGGAAGCCCAATGGGGCATCACTGTAAGTCAGATTTAACTAGATGGCAGTAAGGTTTTTTTTTTTTTTTTTTTTTTTATAGGTATAATTAACATAACTGAAGTTGTGCTAGATTCCTCTTAAGGTTGACCCCACTAGTGTTCACTACCACCAACAGCATACAAGGTAGAAAATAACCCTACTTCTCCAACTATATTTGCCATTATATAACTTTATAACCCTAGACAAGGAGCCCTGGTACTGCAGTGATTAAGTGCTCAGCTGCTAATGGAAATGCCGGCAGTCTGAACCCACCAGCCATTCTGTGGGAGCAAGATGTGGCATTCCACTTCCATGAAGATTTACAGCCAATTCTACTTTACCCTATAGGATCACTGTAAGAATCAACTCAACAACATTGGGTTTGATTATAATCTTGATGCTAATAGACGTAAGGGGATATCTTAATATTGTTTTAATTTCAATGTCTCTATTAATGATATTGTGTTTATTTGGTTTGGGGTTTCTAACTCTATAAATTAATGTGTATTTATATCCTTTGCTAATTTTTTATATGCAATTATCTGTGTTCACTAAAATAATAAAAGGGTATTAATTACATATTTTTTAAAACATTAGTTAAATATAAAACAAAACCAAAATCGAACCAGTCTACTTTTTCTTCTGGATCTGACGTAGTGTTGTTACGTGTCATCAAGTCAGTTCCTACTCACAGCGACCATATGCGAGAGAATGAAACAACGTCTGGTCCTGCATCACTCTCAACAATCCTTGCTATGTTTGGGCCCACTCTTATACCCATTGCAATCCATCTCATTAAAGGTCTTCCTCTTTTTCACTGATGCTTGGTTTTACCAAGCAGGATATCCTTCTCCAGGGACTGTTCCCTCCTGATAGTATTTCCATCCTCACTCCTAAGGAGCATTCACCCTATACTTCTTCCAAAACAGATTGGTTTGTTCTTCTGACACTCTGGGGCATATTCAATATTCTTCACCAACACCATACTTCAAAGGCATTAATCGTTCAATTTCCCTGTTGTCCAGCTTTCAACATATATATGAAACAATTGAAAATATCATGGCTCGGAGCAGGTGCACCTTGGTCCTCAAAGTAACATCTCTGCTTTTCAACATTTTTAAAGAGGTCTTTTGCAGCAGATTTGCCCAATGCAATATACTGCTTGATTTCTACTGCTGCTTCCACAAGTGCTGACTGTGGATTCAAGTGACATAAAATCCTTGACAACGTCAATCTTTCTCCACTTATCATGATGTTGTTTACTGGTCTAGTTGTGAGGATTTTTGTTTCTTTAGGTGGAGGTGAAATCCGTCTATACTGAAAGCTGTAGTCTTTGATCATCATCAGTAAGGGCTTTAAATCCTCTTCATTTTCAATAAGCAAGGTTGTATCATTTGCGTAACACAGGTTGTTAATGAGTCTTCCTCCAATTCTGATGCCACATTTCATACAGTTCAGCTTCTTGGATTATTTGTTCAGTAATCAGACTGGATAAGTATGGTGAAAGGATACAAACCCTAACACACACCTTTCCTGATTTTAAACCATGCGGTATCTCATTTTTCTTCTAACAACTGCCTCTTGGTTTATGTACAAGTTCTGTAGGACCAAAATTAAGTGTTCTGGAATTCTCAGTCTTTGTAATGTTATCCGTAATTTGTTATAATCCACAAAGACTTTGCGTAGTCAATTAAACACAAATAACTATCCTTCCAGTATTCTCTGCTTTTAGCCAACATCCACCGTGACATAGTAACAAGACCTAAACTTAACATTCTGTGAAAAACAACTAGAAAACTAGACAAAATGTGTGAAACAAAACTGTTTCATACATGGAACAAGAGGCAGTACAGGACTCTGATCCCTGAGAAAAAGAAAATCAAACAAGCTTTCCACCTAGAAGCAATTTCCACACTACTCCAAAGGCTCAGAGAAATCAAACAAAATTTGGAGGTCTCAATGACTTGAGGAAGCAGAGATTAAAATATAGGGAGTCAGAAGTGGCTAGAAGTTTCAGGTCAGAGTATTAAAAAGGGAGTAGTAAAGCAGAGAGGCTACAAAAAGCAGCATTGAGTCTTTGGCTTAATACCAAACTGTGCATGCCTATGATAAAACTCAACAACCAAAAAAAAAAAAAAACAACTCACTGCCATAGGGTCAACTCCGACTCTTAGCGACCCCGTTTGGGTTTCCAAGGCAGTAATCTTTACGGAAGTAGATCACCCAGTCTTCCTTCTTCAGAGTGGCTGGTGGGTTTGAACTGTCAACCTTCTGGTTAGCAGTCAAATGCCTTAGGCACTACACCACTAGAGCTCCTTAAATTCAACAAAGTAGGGTCAAAATACTGAGAGCTATGTAAGTCGAAGAATTCCTAGAGCTGATACAGAGACAGGAATAGTTTGAGTCTCTACTAAGGCCATTAGCATCCTTAAGTAGAGAGCCTAGAAGAGCCAAGCCTGAATAGAAAGGCTAAACTAGTCCAAGAGGCAGATAATGTTACCAATGAGGAGGAGCAAAATTGAAGTAATCAGAAAATGACAGAGATTATAGAATTAGTAAACAAAACCATTAAAAGAACTATCATAAATATGCTCAACAGTGTCAAAGAGTTAAAGAACTTAAAGCAACATAATGGGAAAGAATAAAAAACACTGAAAAGAATCAAACAGAATTTAAAGAGAAAAAGAATATACTATCTGAAGAAACAACTATTGGTCTCTACTAATCAGGAGCAAAAGATAAAGAAGGAAACCAAAGTCTCAGAGAAGAAACTAGTCTACAAGCTAATAGCTTACATGAGCCATGGCCTCATGCACCCTGAGACCAGAAGAACTAGATTATGTCCAGCTACCACTAGTGACAGTTCTGACAGCCCACAAAAGATGAACCCTGACAGACTGAGAGGAAAATGCAGAACAGAACTCAAATTCATAAAAAACTCCAAACCTGACGAACTAATTGAGACCTCAGGACTCCCTGAGACCACTGCCCTGAGATACTCTTTAAACCCTAAACTGAAACTATCCCTTGAGATCATCTTTTTGCTAAATAACAGAGATGCAAACAAAACAAAGGATATTACCTCTGAGAAGGGTGCTCCGTTAACAAAATAAAAACCTATGAGACCAAAAGATCAACATTTACTCTAAAGTAAAGACAAGAAGATAGAAACCAAAACCACTGCCATCAAGTCAATTCCAACTCACTGTGACCCTTCAGGACTGAGCAGAACTGCTTTACAAGGTTTCCAAGGCTGTAAATATTTACAGAAGCAGACTGCCTCATCTTTTACCCAAAGAGCCAGCTGGTGGACTGGAACAGCTAGTATTTTGGATAGCAGACAAAAGCTTTAACCACTGCACCACCAGAGCTCCTCACATAAAACGACAAGGGAACAGGAAAATTAGAGTACTGGAAACAGAATAAAATGAAGGTGAATGTTGACTCACTGTGGGGAAAAAAAACTAATGTCAATGAACAAATTATACAAAAATTGTCATATAATAACCTAATTTACTCTGTGAACTTTCAGTGAAAATGCAATTGAAATACTATTTTAAATATATATATATATGTATATACACACACACATAATCTGTAATGAAATTTTCAACGTGCATCAAAGCAGACAGCAGAAAATCAGTTAACTCAAAAATACAGCCATAATATCTATCCAAAATGAAACAAAAAGAGAAAAGACTGGTGGGAATAAAATATTAACATCTCAGTGGACTTAAGGGACAACATCGAGGGATCTTGATATGTAACTGGAATCCAGAAAGAAAGAAGACAACAAGAACACGATATTTGAAGAAAAAATGGTCAATTATTTTCCAAATATGATGAAAATTATGTTATAAGCCCATAGATGCAAGATCTTTGATAGGGATAAACAAAGTAAACCATGCCAAAACACAATCAAATCTCTGAAAAATCAATAATGACTGATAAAAAGAAGCTAAATGGTTTAATAATCTTAACATAATGAATTAGAGTTTATAATTGTAGAGCATAAACTGAGATGTACTTAATCAGAGCTAGATTAAGGATGTGCCAATTGAACAACTGCTACGGGCATAAACATCTCAAGGACACTAAAATAAAGCTAAAAATTAAGAAAAAAAAAATGGAGAAAGAACTTCTCTAAGGTACAGGTAACTGTCAGGCGGGAACTCAGCGCCAGTCAGGTGGGTAAAAGATTGAACAGGAAGAAGCTACAAACAGACCAAACCGGATGCAGCTTCCACCTGATTGGTTCCTGCCTTATTTTGAACCCGCACAGGTCCTCCCCCTCCCTTAATGACTATGCTAATGAGGTGCTTTCACCTGATTGGTTCCCGCCTTTTTCCCTCTGCCCCCACTCAGGTCAGGCCTCTCTCAGGAACCAATGAGCCTTGCCCAGCCCCTCTTGGGGACCAGTAAACCTGGCCCGGAGTGCCGAATAAAAACTTCTCTTTAACCCCACTTTTGTGTGTCCTCTTCTCCTTGCCGCAACCTTCCACTAACTGGCAGAAAGTGTGATAAACTGCCTGGGGATCAAATAAATTCACCACCACTACCAACAACAACCACCTGGCAAAGGAGGGCTAAACATGGAAGAAAGGAGGGTGGATCCAATTAATTGCAAAGCTTTTGTTCACTTTAAGGGACAAACTACTCAATTAATAAAAAAGGAAGATAGTAGGAAAGTAGTATACACATTTTTTCCCCCATATCCTCTCCTCTAAATAAATGCTGAATATATATTTAAAGAATAACAGTATGAAGAAGGACCAAATGTGTTAGCCTGCCTGAAACTCCCTGTTCTCTTAGTCCACACCTGTATCCACTCATGGCTAAAAGAGCTCTGTATGGCTTTAAATGATATTTTAATTGATTTCTTCCCCAAAAAAATCAGTATTTGTCCCACATGTATAAATATCAATTATTGAGAGAGCTGCTAATGTGTTTGAGGAAAGGGATACTTTTAAATACTAAAGAGTATTTAGGTATTTTTACCCATTGTCCTTTATCTCCTTGAAGTTTACTGAAGAATAGCTTTAGTTCTCGAACTGTCAAATTGTAACTAGCCAGCACTCCCAACATGTCAACTAAAAGATCTGGAAACAAAAGAAAACAATCAAATAATTAAGGTATTTCTATTTCTTGAAGGATTAGATAGATATACTATGCTTACTTAAAGGTTTGGATACTAAAGTGCCAGGAACACAGTGGATGTACAAGTATTTCTCAAATAAATGAGAACGAAATAAATGATGAATAAAATAAGAAAAATGCATTATTTAAAAATCAAATTTTATTTCTTCACATACCTTGTATTATGGAAAAGTCATACCTGCTATCATATTGTCAACTTTTTCAATTTTCCAAAGCACTTTTTCAACAAGGCCTACTTCAGTACAGACTTGAAGATTTCGTATGCTTTTTTTCAGAATGGCTGTAAACATGCTCCAGACTTCTGCTTGGCAAGTGATGTCACATTTTTCCAGTAAGTCCACCATGCAAATGATACTCTCACCTTCTTGGATAATGAAATTCATTTCCAAATCAAACTGTCCTCCTACCAGCTTGGGAGGGGGAAGGAAAAAAATTAAACACATTACTATTTCTTCAATTAGTGCAATCCTAAATTTCAGTTTAGCAGTAACTAGACACACATATTCTTCTCTTCCCTCAACAACAAAAAAAAAAGTTCACTTTTAAAAATTTTAAAAAAAAACAGCTTTCTCAACAACAAAAGAAAACTCAATTTGAAGATGGGCAAAGGACTTGAAAAGACATTTCTCTAGAGAAGATACATAAATGGCCAACAGACACATGAAAAGATATTAGTTATCAATAGTCATTATGTTGTTGTTGTTATGTGCCGTCGAGTCGGCCCCGACTCATAGCGACCCCTCCTTGGGTTTCCGAGGCAGTATCACTACGGAAGTAGGATTG